GGTCTGAACCCCAGTGTTCCAACTTCAGATCCCTCCATTATAGAAAGGGCCTGAAGCCCCTGAGTAGTTTTCACACTTTTCTACAACTTGAGATCAGTGGATTACTTTACTGTGATCTCAGGCATCAGTGATCCAGTGAGAAATAATGAATGTACACACCCCTAGATCACCTGGTTACTGGTGAGAAACTTCTGGACACCTGAAAAAGGCCGCACATGTTAACTAACATGGACGATGGCAAAGAAGGGACACGGTGATGACAGGGATCCTGGGGGTGTCGAGCTCTTCAGCTTCCCGCTGTCATCCTCGGGAGACCATGCTTTCTCTGTGGACAAGTGTGGCACAGCACACATGGGTCCAACTAGGGCTGGGCACAAGCCAATGTTAGGGACATGCTCTGTAAACGATGGAGGTTCCTACCACTTGTGTGGAGGACACCACCAATAAAAATCTAGCACAACCCACATCCTAGGACCTGGAGAGTTCAAGAAAAGCCATCTACACCAAGCACACAGAGGGGAAGACAATGTGCTCTTAAGCTGGTGAGATGGTGAGTGGCTAGAGGACCCCAAGGGAGTGCTGCTTCTCCCAACAGCTGTGACCCTAGCTGACATTCGCTTCCATTCACTCTTCCCATCCTTCAGGTACACATTATGGTCCATTCATAAGCCCCAGAGGCACGGGGCACTGACTGCCACACCTAACAAGCATCAGCACGTAAGTGGGATACAATGAGTTGCATCAGAGCTCTCAAGAGAGCTGTGTGCAGGGAGGGAATGGCCATTGAGATGCCAGTAGGAGCCTCAGTGCACGGTTGCCAGTAGGCGGCGCTCCTGAGCCAGAAGCTATTCCTGCTCTTTGTTTACCATTCTGGCCCAGAAAGCAGCAAATGCCCCCACACAGAGGCTGAAGCTGGGGGGCAACTAGGGGTGCATTTGAGAACTGGTCTCTGTGTCCCTTCTGACTCAGTGAGGAGACAGACAAGGAACGGAGAAAGGGTCTTAGGAAAGAAACATGGAGACACAGGCTAGCAGAGGAAGGCTGTCCTGCCCTCTTGGGATGACTTGACCCTGAACACAGCTCTGCTCCATCCTCTCTCAACTCTTCTTCAATCTCTTGTAACCATTCCTCTTTCATCGCTTCCCAACCCTAACTCTCTGCCTACCTTTTCTCCTGTGTGGGCAGCAGGAAGAATGTAAACATTGTGCTACTTCAGACCTGAATGCAAAGTTGAGATGCACCTCCGTGGCCCCAGGACAGTTGGAACCACTGTCTTGGAGCCTCTTAGTCTATGTGTTTGCCAGCACCTAAATGCTAAAGACAAAGCCAGTTGGTGTACACAGGTGTAAGGGATAGAGAGCGGTTTAATAGGTTTTTGTAGGCAACCCCAGTGATCATTTTTTCGGTCAAACACTAGATGATGTTGTAAAGGCTTTTTGGATGTGATTAATATTACAGTATACATTTGTTCATTTTTATGTATTATTTGAGGGGGGCACAGGACACATGTGGCCATCAGAAGACAACTCTGTGGAGTCCATTCCATCTTCTCCCCTTTTGCATAGGTCCCAGGGATCAGACTCCATTCTCTGGGTTTGCACAAGGAACATTTTTACCTATTGAGTCATCTTACTACCCATAAACAAACTTCAAAGAAACTAAATTACCCTTCCCAAAGTAGGTGGACCTCCACATTCAAGAAGGAAGCATCCACTCTTACCCCCCACACACACCTTCACCCCCACCCAACAGCTGCCCTAAGAGGTTGCCAGGCTCCAGGAACCTGGGAGCCAACTTCTCAAAATCCATCACTCTCTGCTTCCTTATCTCCCTCTTTCCCACTCCCCCCCCCCTAAATTCATTTACTTCTTTTTCTCTTACATAGGGCACTATTCTGCCAAGCTAAGCAATCAGGCTGGTTGTCCCCCACTGCTACTAGGCCAAGGACCTGAGCCCACCATACAGCCAGCTCGGATAGACTTTCCCCTCTTCTTTTCAGGAAGCCTGATGGGAGGAAGACCAGCCATCTTACCCACTCTCTTTGGCCTCTGACTGTCTCACAGCTGGGACCTTGAGCTGCCTGTGAGCCTGGCCCCCTGTCTGTTTCTGGCCACATCGTAGAACAGGTAGAATCAGTGTTCCTTTTCTTCTTTGTACCCCAGTGATGTGAATAAATTCAGAAAACTCGTCCAACTTTATAGGATGGAGTATGTAAAGGATTCAGTAAGCAAGCATCAGTCAAAGCCATTAATTCCTCACAATTGAGGAGAGTAGGAGGCCACACCCAGCCTAGGAAAGTCTTCTGCATTGGGGTAAGGTCAAAATTACACACTAAAAGCCTACAACTAAATTATATTAAAGTGTAAAACCCCACAGCTGATGGCAAAGTGTTTCCTGGCTCTTTCCGCTAGGACCTCTTGGGGTTCTCCCATCGGTGCAGGGCAATGTTCCTGGAGACCATGACCTCATCCTACTTTCACCCCACTGAGTCTCATGCCAAAGCAGCAGCTGTGCTGCTGCTGCAGCCACTCCCTTGGGCACAGCTGCTTTCTTCCCTCTTCTCTCTCCTCCTTAACCCTCACCTTCTTTCCTCCCCTTTCTCTTTGAAAGACTTATTCAGGACCAAGTCAGAGTGAGGGGGACCAGCGAATGACCCCCCTCAAGGTCCTCCCTGTAGCTCATCTATGCAGAAGACCCCTAGACAGGGCAAGCACCAAGAAGCTCTAAGCAGTGTGTGTGTGCTTCGTGTGTGTGTGTGTGTGTGTGTGTGTGTCTCGTGTGTGTGTGCATGAGTACAAATGTGTGTGTATGAGCGCATGTGTGTAAAGGGGGTAATATTTCATCACTTTGCTTTCTTCTCCTTCTAAAGAGTTTCCTGTAGCTCAGGCTGGCCCAAACTCTCCATGTACTTCAACATGCCCCTGAACTCCCAATCCCCCTGCCTCCACCTAGAGTTAGGTACACCACATCCGGTTCATATGGTGCTGGGAATCAAACCCTGGGCTTCCTGTAAGCTAGGCAAGCTCTCTACCACCTGAGCTATATCTATTCATGTTTCTTTTTTGGCCAAACCACACAGGTCAGTGATTGAGAGCATGGGACCAGCTGCTGGACCGATTGTGTGTGAATCCTAGCTCCCTTAATTTCTACATATAATACATCACTTAGGGTAAGTTATTTAACCACTTGGGGGTTAGTTTCCTCATCTGTGAAGAGAAAAGAGGAATGCAGCCTAGTTCCTAGGTTATATGGGGATTCCAAGAGTAAAGCATGGCTTATTAAGTGCTTAGAATACTGTCTACTAGGAATGGCTAGGCAAAAAATGCACCTGTTTTCAGACCCACTGGGAAACGGAGCCAGCTGATAAAAGTCAAAGCCCTCTCTGAAATCCAAGGAAACCCATCCTGAGAAAGAACAGAGGATGAGCCAGTGCAGCTGGGAGTCATGGGCTGCAGGCCTCGTCTGGTGGATTCTCTGCACATGGAAAATGCCTGTGGGACAAGGGTGACTTGTGCACCAGAGGGGAGAGTAACCATTGCACAACAGTGGATGGAACACAGGAAACCAACTGTGGTCCACGTTCATCTCCAGCATAAGTCTTTTTGGATACCACTGCAGGTTTAAGGGGCTGACTGGGGGGGGGGGGGTTGGCTGGAGAGATGGCTCAGTGTTCAAGGGTTCTTTTTTCTTTCAGAGGACTTGCGTTTGATTCCCAGTCCTCACATGGTGTCTCACAGCCATTCACAACTCCAGTTCAGGGGCACTGACGCCCCCTTTTCATGTCTTCCAGCACCAGGCATGAACGTGGTACACAGGCTTATACATAGGCAACACACACACACACACACACACACACACTAAAAAAAATTTTTTTAAAGAGGATGATTTAGAATAAAACTCTCTTATACATTTAGTGTGTGTATGTGTATACATGTGTGCCTGTGGAGTGTATATGAGGGCGGTGGGGGGGGTGTGGGTGTGGGTGTGTGGAGGCCAGAGGTGTTCAATGTTGGGTGTCTTCCTCAATTGCACTCCACCTTATTTTTTGAGCCAGGGTCTCTCATGGAATTCGGACCATTAAGTCACTGGTCTCCAGTGACTGGCTTGTCTCTGCCTCCCTCCGAGAACTGTGACTACAGATCTCTCTCTCTCTCTCTCTCTCTCTCTCTCTCTCTCTCTCTCTCTCTCTCTCTCTCTCTTTGGTTTTTTGAGACAGGATTTCTCTGTGAAACAGTCCTGGCTGTCCTGGAACTCACTCTGTAGACCAGACTGGCCTCAAACTCACAGAGGTCCTCCTGTCTCTGCCTGCCTCCCCAGTGCTGGGATTAAAGGCCTGCACCACTACCGCCCAGATATACCAGGCTTTTAAGTGGATGCTGGGCCTCTGCACCCAGGTCCTTGTGTCTGTAGAACAGACATCTTCCTGACTGAGCCATCACCCTAACCTAGGAAAGAGAGGGCTTGAACTGTACTGTGTCAGCCACGTTTCCCTGCATCTCTGGAACTCCTAGGATGCTGATGAGGGCCAGCGACACGAAGAAAAGTCACAACACAATGGAGGCAGGGAGCATTCTTCCTTCCTGGTGCTCAACTCGTGCAGCAGTTATGAAACTGTCTACCACACTTCGGTGGAACTGTGTGCACTTCCTGGGAGGTGGGCAGCCAGTGCATTCCTGCACCAAATGTTTCAACCCTGGGCACCAAGCTCATATCACACAAGACTTTCAGTGTATGTCTGTGACACAACTAAATAGTGCAAGTCAACAAACACTTAACATGGGGAAGCAGATTTGAAAAGGTGTCTTTAAAAAAAAAAAATAAGATGGTAGACAAGGCCATGAATTTGAGGGGCACAAGGAGTTGGAATGGGAAAGATGGGGCTGAAAGTGTGGTGTAAATACAGTAGCCATGTATGAAATCCTCAAAAAATAAATATCAAGAAAACTAAAAATGGCAGCGATAATGCATCTATCACTGTTTTTAGTGACAAGGTATGTTACCTGGTGACTGCTGGTCTCAGACACTTTAACATCCAAAGACCCAGCTAGGACAGCATACCAATTGGTTCCAATATCACCTTGGCGAAATACTGAAAAAAGAAACAGTGATGTAAATACACCGTGTACAGGTTTGTTTTGTCCATATAACCTGACAGATTTTCACTGGTATTACAAGCATGGCTTATTCTCACCCTTCCCTCACCTACTCCCACAGGAATTCAACATGGTTTTCCTCATGCCATCCATTCACGAAGTTTATTGTATAGATTGCATATCCTCAGAAGCAGATACCCCATCTACAGAACATTCCCAGACACTGAGCTGTAACAACTAACTGATTATCCTGACTGGGAAGAGATCCATTGGCCTGACATAGTGATGAAAGCCTTTAATCCTAGTACTTGGGAAGAGACGACAGGTAGATCTCTGTGAGTTCAAGTCTAGCCTGGTCAACAGAGTGAGTTCTAGGGCAGCTAAGGCTACACAAAACATTGACTGTAATAATTCATTAACATTCTGTGCGACTTACCTTAAATACACTTCACTGCATGTGATTCTTGGAAAACTATTAATCTACATGGGGGGGAGGGTCATTTGACTTGCCATACTGTGCCACCCAACATCATGGATCTGTATTAAAGGCAAAAACACTGTGGTGGCCACACCCACAATGCTAGCACTCAGAAAGCTGAGGCAAGAGGACCCTGAGTTGGTGGCCTCTCCAAAGGACATAGCAAAGCTCTGTCAACAAGTAAATAAGTTAATGAACAAATGGATGCATGTAATAAGTTTTATAGAGTAATGGACTTCCTTTTAACCTAACCAATGGATGGCTTACTTTATTTATACAAATTGTAAGAACTGAGTCATTGTTTGTTTATTTATTTATTTTCTTAATCCACTGTCCTTAGGCATTTGACTATGATCCTTACCAGAAGTTTCTGAACCAAAATTGTCTCTGAGTTTGTAATATCAGAGAGAAACTATTTAGATATTAGATCCCATATTACATTAAGAGTAGAACTTGAGAAGTCATCTGTTGGGCTGGAAAGATGGCTCAGCTACTAAGAGCACTTACTGTGCTTCTAGGGGATCAGAGTTCCATTCCCAGCACCCTCGCCAAACAACCACCTGAAGCTCCAGCTCTAAGCTGTAACACAAATAGTAAAAACTGAGAGACAAGTATTGGGTTCAAGCTCAAGATCATAAAAGCAAAGCAGTCAGCCACTAGCTCTTACTCTACCTCAGACCGAAATGGATGATCCTGTCTCCACAAACCCTCAGAGGCAAATGTTCTCCCTGTCTGGAAATGAAATGTCCCATGAGACCTGTTGTTTCTTCCTTGTATACCTCCCTGGTACTGGGATTAAAGGTGTGATCTCTTATTCTTTTAGACCGATTCACTCTTGTGTAGCCCAGAATGGCCTTGAACTTAAAGAGATCCATCTACCTGTCTCCTGAGTCCTGGAATTAAAGGTGTGTATCACCACTGCCTAGCTCTATGGCTGTGGCTAGCTTTGCTTTCTGATCCCCAGTGGTTTTATCAGATCATAAACAACCTATCACCACACCAGGTGACAAAACATTCTCATTCTTCTTGGACCTCAGTGGGCTCTGGCACATATGTACGAAAAAGTGAAATCAATCTTTCATTTAAAAAAGTCACTCTGAAATTCTCCCTCCAAAATCTCATGAAAACCAACTCTTCTCTTAAATATTACAACCAAGGAACCCCATGGAACAACCTGATTTTTGCCTGTTTGTTTGTTTGTTTTTCGTGTTTATGAGGTCAAGCAAATGGCTTACTGAAAATCAATGCTCAGCTCAGGGGCCAAGGCCTGGAAGGGTTGGTATGCAGGGCCTAAGAGGTAGCTTCTGGAAACCACGGTTGTAGTTATGCTCTGAGCCCTCTGAGTGGGCAGTGTTGTAGAGAGGTTCAAGACAGCAACAGTGTTCAGCCAGCACAGTGATAGAGTAAGAAGCTGGAGATGAGCTCACACTGGCCTTTCCAGTGATAATTGCTCTCACCCTCTGAAACACACTTAGAGTTAAGATGTGATGCAATTCCCATACCGCATAAGATGTGTTTCCAAATGGCTTTAAGAAACAAAAAGGCTCTCTCCACCAAAAATGAAGTTTCTGACATCAGTAAGAAAAATACATACGTTGGTTTGAAAATTACATATGTAGAGGTGTTTAAAGATTTGCTTCAGTGTGTGTGTGTGTGTGTGTGTGTGTGTGTGTGTGTGTGTGTGTGTGGGCCTATATGCACACACTTGCCTGCAGAGATCAGAAGAGAATGTCAGATCCCCAGGAGTTGGAATGTATGGGTTGTGAGCTGCCCCAAGTGGGTGCTGGGAACCAACCCTTCCAAAGAGTAGCAAATGCTCTTAACCACTGAGCCACCTCTCCTATCCCTGCAGAGAACTTTTTAAAAGCAAAAACATGATCATTTTTGTGGAGACCTGGAAAAACACTTCAAAGGACACAACTGAATGTTACATTATGGGTCAGTTTTAGGGCTGGGGATGACAGGAGATTTTGTGTTTGTTTCCTACATTTTCTGCATTGATACTACCCCTGATTTCCCACCCAGAACACACATGCATGCACTCTTACTCAACCACCCAGATTTTAACCAAGTTCACACCCTTGTCCTGGTCCAAAAGCTCCTGCCCTAACCCCACTGGCATGGTGAAACGTGTTCTAATCAATCCAAGACATCTCGTGAGCTCTGCCGGTGAGTGCTCTAGACTTTAGCCATGGGATACAACTCTGGCCAATGGCACCGCACAGGAAGTCTGCTGGGAGACTGGGAAGAAACAGTCCTTCAGAGGATGTGTGCTGTGGACACAGAACACCTCCACTTGCTACAAGGCACAAGCCACTCCCTGAGGTGCATCAGGAGGCTGGGGGACCATAGGCCCTTCTGGACCAGCCCTGAATCATCTCACCTCAGGGCTTTCACGGGTGAGGAACCTTTTTTTTTTTTTTTTTCTTTTTTTTTTTTTTCCTTCTTGAATAAATCTTTGGTTATTCAAGGCAGTTGGATGGAAGCATTCATTAGCACAGAATAAAACACACCTAGAAATAGGGAGACGCTGCCTCCTTAATGAAAAGAAAATACTTCAAAATTGTTTTAGCCTCTCTGTCCCTGATTCATACCTGGATAAATAACATTATTACTGTGCTCCATCCAAAACATAGCTAACAGAATTGGATGAGAGAGCTTTGTTTACAGGCCAGGGTCACATCCTTCTTGGATTAAAGAAGGCAATTATTTGAATCTCTAAGGATACAGCTAAATGAACATATCTGCCTGTCCTTCCAAACCCATCTAGAAAGTGAGCTGCTGCCTGGAGGTGGAGGTAACCATGTCCCCACTGGGAACATAAGAAATAAGGAGCAGAATAAACATGGGGGAGAGAAACGTCAGCTCACTTGGAAGCTCAAGTATCAGTCATGCCAACTCTGAGGATGCTATCTGTCCCCACACGGTAGCCACAGATGAGCACAGGCCACACATAAGCACATGCCACAGAAGTCACAGGGCTTACGTGTTATTCCTTTCTCCAGGCTCTCATAATAACCGCATAAACAGATCTGATGAAGGAGGTTTGGGTGGAATTTCTCAAAAGCTTTAACTTCTTTCAGTCGCGTGAAAATTATGTCCACATCTTCACTAGATCGTTCCAACGGCCTGCAGAGGGAGGAGTTGGAGACACAGAACCTGTTAGGTCTTTGTGAAAAATGAGCCACAAGACATAACTCATCACAGTTGCTTATTTATCTGTCATGAGACAGGGTGTCCTGTAGCCTGGTCTGCCTTGAACTTAGAATGTAGGCAAGGATGACTTTGAACTGTTGATCTTGTCCCAGGTGCTGGGTCACAGTGGTACAAGGAAGTTAGTCGGCTACATTCCTCATAGTTAACCACCTATCCCTATCACAGGCATTTCTCTCTGTGTCCACTTTAAGTCCTTACTGTTGCAAATGACTAGGACAGGACTGCTCTGAGTCCAGAAAACTAGATTCAAAAAGAACGTGTGTGGTCCCGGCTAGCCCAGCTAATTCCCACAGAGAAAAGACCTGGAATGTACAGTGCTGATATGGCCATGTGCCTGGAAAAGCTGGGGGATCCACAGACCTCACTGGTGCTGTGGTTTCTGCAAAGCTTCCAGGCATCCATGCTGAGGCCTTTAAGGGGTTATCAGGCCACGAGGGTTATGCCCGCATGAACGCATGAAAGGCTCACACTGCTGTCATAGGAACGAGTTCCTAACAGAAGGACGAGTGTGGTACTCTTGCCTCCCCTCCAGACCCTTTCTCTCTGACTTTGCATGGCTGATACTGTTTGCCTCGTGTTTTACCCACCACGGGCTTATACAACAAAAGGCCCTGCAAGCATGATTTCCTCCCATCTTCACCCAGACTCCAAACTGTGGCACATATGTTTTCTCTTTATAAATTACCCTGTCTGTGGCATTTTGTTACAGCAGCACGGCACCTCAGTGCTGGGCCCCTTCCCTCCATCACCTCTTGAGGACTCCCAAACTCCCCCTTTTGAAGCAAAGCCCTCAAGGCTCAGGGTTTTGAAAGGCAGCCAGAACTTCAAGTGTGAACACAATGCTGCCCAAAGAGCATCTGTGTGAGCCGGGAGGGAGCACCTTCACTATTACAGGGATGGCAGTAGGCATCCTTCAGAGGGCATCCGGCCCAGTGGGTATATGCCACACTGTTGGCACCTGCAGGGAGCTGGGCCTTTGCCACAGAAGGCCTAGGGCTAGCCCAAAGCAAGGCCAGCATGGAAATGACCCCCGGAAGAATCGCAAGGCACTGATGTGGTGGAGTCCTTCTTCACAGGATAAACAGAAAGAGATGAGGATCCCTCTGCCCCCACAGAGAAGGCACAAACCCGTTTGTTCTCCGGAGTATGCCCTTTGTTAGGAAGGCAGACCAGGACACAGATCATCAGCCTAAAGTGTCTAAGGAGAGACTGAACACCCACAAGCAGCAGGAGAAAAATGTACTTCCATGAGGTAAGTTCAAGGTAAACCAGAAGAGCAACAAGAACCAGATCCAGGCTGTAAGTCACAAAAGACATTTGTGGTTTTGTGATGTTGCCCATCCCCAAACAGTGAAAAATGACCATTTTTTAATTAAAAAAATTAGAAATTACATTTTGTTTTGTATCCATTTCTGCGTCTGTGTGTTTGTGTGTGCATATGTTTGTGCGGTACTGGAGCCTAGACCCAGAGCGTCATGTATGCTAGTCACTCTGCCAACTGTGCCTCCCTTTGTTTTCATCTTCAAATGTCTTCTGACGATTGTATATGTTTCAGAACACTGGACATAAGGTTGGCTAAACACACTTGAGTTAAAATGACTTTGCCGCTCAGTTTGACTTTTCATCTCAACAGGAAGTTAAGGTAAGAAGGATATTTCCCTCCTTTAGTGAGCAACTACCAGAGCTACAATAAATAACTCGTGTGAGCTTTATAAATTACACGAGGCTACAGAAGCTGCTGCTGCTGCTACCAACATGTTCATTAGTCACTAAGACCTTTAAAAGAAGCTTCTGATGGGGGACTGTGGAAATGATCTGTAGATAAGGTGAGATCCAGATCCAGTGAGATACCCCATCTCAAGAACTAGGGTGAAGAATGATAGAGAAAGATACTGGATGATGACTTCTGGCCTCTACACAGGCAAGCATATGCACATAGACACACACACACACACACAGTATCTAATGAAAGCAATGAATACAGAACTTGAGATATACTCTACCTTACTTGTGTCCTTTTGAAGGATTTTTAGACATGTGTATATTCTTTTCTAATTTAACCATAAGATCTTAGACAATACGCACTTAACAGTCTCAGTTTTTTTTCCCCTAACACTTAGCTTTTCAAAGGGTTTTGACACCTATGGAAATTTTTTATCATTGCAGCCTATTAGATAAAGCAAGTATAATGAATTCCATTTCACACTAATAAAACATTTAGACACATAAGTCAGGCAACTACCAGGATGCTGCAATCATGTGTATTTATAATGCCATTGATGACGTAGAGGTGTCAAAGGTCTTTGAAAGTCAAGATGTTTGCCACTTATCAGGTTATCGTCGTAATTATACAATTATTAACCACTTGGAACACTGTTTACTCCTTCCTAATTACCAGTTTTTCCAACAATGTCAATGAAATTCAGAAAGAAGGAATTGATGATGGTTGATCCAATCTGCATATATTTACTAAGGAAGTAAGTAAAGCTATCTGGTGACATAAAGGCGTGGTCTGTGTGCCCAGGGTGAGGGACATCTGTGCACAGACAGCGCTTCCCAATACAGAATCATCAAGGAGGGGGGAGGAATTCAGAAAAGAAAGAGATGTCACTATGGGTAAGATTGTACCAAGGTCTCATGAGTGCACTGTTGTAAACAGCCCTAAAATCGGCCCCCTTCTCATTTCTCCGTTTGTAACTACAGCATCGCCAGTTAACAATTGAGTCTGTAACCTCTGCGGTTAGGTTTATCTCCCCAGGTTTGTCCGGAGAGAGCCCTGCCCTCCTGACTCCTCCTCATCTGTCCCTTTCTCATTCATGAACACACACTTGCACATACATGTACACACATCAACTCAATTGCCACAATTTTCCTCTGTCTGCAATCCTTGGTTCTGCCAGTGAGCTTGCAGTTACCCTTAACCAAGGCACGCCCAGGCACTCCCAGTCCTTGCAATATCTGTCTGCCTGCCTCCAGGAAGCAGAGCCCACAGAGCTTGCAGAGTCCCACTTAGTAGCCAGCCCACTTGCTTTTACATCACCATAAAACAATGACGAGAAAAGAGACCTTCTAGATCCAAATTGAAGAAACATTAGATATTAACCTTTTCTGTCAACCGCAATAAAACTTCTGTTTCCAATGAGGAATTTGAATCTCAACTAACCCTCCTACCTCACAAGACTTTTACATGAGCCTTTCCCTCCCACCCCACCTTGCAAAACCCATATGCAAATGTTTTTACACCACCACCATCACCATCACACACACACACACAGCCCTGGTTTTAAAAAAAAAAAAAAAAAAAAAAAAAAAAAAAAACAAAAACCTTTTTTTACACAAAGGGCCTGCTGCATTCTTGGAACATCAATGACTTATGTGGCCCACTTCCCTTCATTTCTTTTGTGCTGATCCTTTTAAAACTAGCCAATCATGAAAGACTGTGAGGTCAGATCCCAGCCAATGGGGAAAAGTCAACAGTAACCACTGACATTAGAATTAAAAACCGAGTCAACTTCCTGTCCCTGTGAGTAGCACACGCAGCTGATCAGAAGGTAAGCTTTGCCTTGTTGAGACACTATAATTGGAGTGGTGGTCTCTTTGTGACCCTGGGCTTACTTCTAACAAAATGAGATCAGAGATTATGACTGAAGATCACGAAGACCACCATTTTGGTCTTGAACAAGGGTAAGGAGGCCCCTATACATTTGCCTCCCCAGTTGATACAGGTATTATGTCACAGGTCCCATAGGGGACTGAAAGCCACTGCTCTGTGGCCCTTGAGAAAAAAAAAAATCTCACTACCTGGAGGCCAGGACCAGCCAAAGTAAGGCTTAAAGAATGTTGAACCTGGGATTTGTGAGTGAGTGGAGGAGGAAGGAGACCTTTTGGACCACGTTCTGTGTTGTCTTTTGTTTCTTTACATTTAAACTACAATACATGATCAGAGTACAGCCTCATCTGGGGGCTGGAGATGCAGCTCAGTGCTGAAGCACGTGCCTGGCATGTATGGGTTTGATGCCCAATATAGAAAACAGGCCATATCACTTTCAGAGGCCCATTCTCAGACATCTTCTCTGACTGTGCCTTAAAATCTGAGGTCAGTACAGCATCATCAGGCTGGGCATACACCCTCAGTCACACAACTGAACTAGACCCTCAAATGCACACAGAATAGAATTGTGCAGTTCAAGTGCCCTGCTAGCATTAGGGTAAAACCGTTTCTTTCAGTTCTTTACACTCTAGAAGAGTGCCCAGGATGAGTCAGGAAACAGATGCTTTTAAAAAACATTTCAGGCTAAATCAGAACTAGTGGCTTTTCTTCTAGGTGATTCACAGAGGACTCAGCGAGAGTCTCACGAGGCTGGCCCACTCGAGGCCTTGGGTTGGGAGAGTTGGATACTCCAGATAATCTTTACTCTTGTTTGCTTGCTTCTCTTTTGTCTGTCTGTTTTGAAGGTCTCATAGCCCAGGCTGACCTGGGATTTCCTAAGTAGCTCAAGGTGGCTTTGAACTTGTGATCACCCTGCTCCCACCTCTCCAGTGCTGGGTTACAGGTCTGAGCCACCACACATGTCTATTCATTATCCCATTCTTGAGCAATGAGAAGGGAAGCCATGAATTCTAGTCTAGAGAATTCTATATTCCAGTCTATATGCTATTTCATCTATTATATATCTAAGCCAATGGTACAGATCAGCGTAACCCTAGTCAATCCATACCAAGGCAACAAAACTGGCATTAGTTAGCCTGAAGCAACCATTTTCAAGCTTGTATCATCTGGGCCTGTCTGAAGCCAGTAGCATCAGAAGAGGGAAACAGATTTTTAGAAAAGAAAAGAAAGTTTGAAAAAGACTCTTACATTGAACCAGCTTTTGGGAATCTCTGTAAGAGAAGAGTAGTTTCTGAGTTATCTA